TATTTATTAGCAATAGTTAACAAAAAAAGTAAAAACAATAAAAATATAACATTAGTTCCCCACTTACGTAGAACTAAAAGAAAATAAAATCTACTGCTAACAATTTTGACGCATGATAGTATTAAGAATACTGTGTGTGCGCCACTTTCTTTTATCTTTAGTAACAAATTGAGGTATGTTTAAAACGGAAATGAAAAATAAGAATAAAACTTTTAAGCAAAACAATTAAAAATACAATCAACCAATACACAATTGCCTTTCTCCTTTCTTATATTATGTACTTAATACTAAAACTACTGTCTACTATCCAACTTGTAATTTGCCTTTTCAATTTACAATAAGGTTCTGATTTCAAGTTTTGGGGTAGTGAGTTGAAAACTTTTGGTCCTACACAGTAAATATGATTTTGGCAGATAGTATGCCTGGGGATGCCTCGTACTAGATTATTTTGAACTACATTTCTAGTATTTATGCCGTGTGTTATATTTTGTCTATAGTCAGTGTTTTTTTAACATATACCTTATTACTGATTTGATATACAATTGATTAATATTTAACAAACCACTTTCTTTATAGATTAATTCAGTTGGATATCTTTTATTCTTGAAAAGTATAACTTTTATCAACCACTTTTGTGCAATTAAGAGCTTGGACAGTATTGTAGAAGAAGTGATAAGCCTTTTGGGATTATCGCGCTTGGTGGCAATATTGTTAATAATACCTAATGATAAAAATTAAAGTATTGAAGTTTAGTTCGTTGTATAACCTTTTGAATACCACTCGATGTTTCAGGATTACCTAATACTTTTACCTGACACTCAACGCGTTACCAGCAACACCACTCCTCCTTCGGAGTCGTATTGCTGCGTAATGCGTTTCGTGACAGGTAAAAGTATTATCCGGTAATCCTGAAACCTCTTGTGGTATTGCATTCGACTATATCTCAGGAACCAAAAAAAATATAAAAAATCGCTGAAAACAATTTCTATAGTAGGGAGGGGGAAACAAAATTATGTAATAAATAACTTGTTTTCACTTACCCCCTCACTCCCAGCTACCCCAACTTAGTAATCTTAAATGACACCCCCCTACTTGTGATACCTTATCTGAAAGTTCTTAAAAAAATGCTTTTCAATGGTACCCTACAAGCTAGGATTCGATGTAATTATTTTCAAAATAAAACCATTGAAATGTGAATTGAATTTTTGACTAATAATTTAATAAAAATTTAAAAACATTTTTTTACTAAGTAGGGGGGTGTCATTTAAGATTACTAAGTTGGGGTAGCTGGGGGTGAGGGGGTGAGTGAAAACAAGTTAGTTATTACATAATTCTGTTTCCCCCTCCCTACTATAGAAATTGTTTTCTGCGATTTTTTATATTTTTTTTGGTTCCTATTGTAAGTTTTTAAAATGTCACCCTGTATAGTCTTCCTCCTTCATCATTTATTACTCCTACATTATGAAACTTTCATTTTCAGATTAATTTTCACCTGTGTGAATATCGGAGTTGTCTGTTTTTTTCAGCAAAAAAACAACATAGAGTTAACTTTCTTACTGTCTTCTATTGTTCATATCTGTCACCTAAGCATTGTAATCTTTAACATTAAAAGCTATACCCTGTTCATATAATTTTTGAGAGAGTTGAGCTCCTTTGGGTCTTTGTCTGCCATCATAACGTCATTATCAGTTTCTTCCTGAATAGCCTCAGATGAGTCAGCCGAATTGAGTTCATCTTTGTTGAAATTGGCGTCAAGTTCAGAGTTAATTATTGTTTATGGAATAGCATGTCCGTCAAAATAGTTAACTGTATAATCTCGGAAATTTTCTATTCCTAACATCTGAAAAACAGCGACGCAAACACGAGACCAAAAAGAGGGACTATGGGAGGAAGGAGCGATAGAACAGGATGCTTATTCTTGAAACAGGGAAGCAACGTTCCAAGGAGAACGAGTGTTCCGTCTTTCGCAATGATATGCGAATGCTAATAGAAGTAACTAAGACAGAACACTTATTCTCCTGGAAACGCTGCTCGCCTGTTCCAAGAATAAAGGCCCACAGAAAAAGACAATCCCGCCCTTATATTTTACAGTTGTTCTATTTTCCTACACTTATAAGTTAACTTATAATAAAGTGCAACAAAAATTAACATCCGTATTCAAATTTATACCCAACGAATGATGTATGGCTTTTGGTATAGAGATAGTTGAATGCGCAGGCCATGTGCATTTGTGTCCCAATGCAAAAATATTTCATATACCGTATCAAATATAAGAAAACCATTCACTAAAACACAACAATCTTGAAGATAATCTCAAGGAATTTTATCGACAAGAATATACAAATTAAAGTGGAGAACTACTGCAAACCTATTGCAAGCTATTGCAGTAGTATTTTAGATTATTGTAATGATATTGTCAACTATTGCGAGCATATTGTAGATTATTGTGAGAGTATTGCAGGCTATTCTGAGAGTATTATAGATAATTGCAAGAGTATTGTGAAATATTGCAAACTATTGTAGACTACTGCAAAGTATTGTGCACTATTGCAAGGTATTGCGCACTATTGCAAGGTATTGCATTCTATTGCAAAGCATTGTGAGCTATTGAGAAATTACTGTCGCAATACTTTATCGAAATTCTTACATATATTGTGGCCAGTGAAATACCCCTCGCTAAAATAGTTATTTTCCTAACAAGTGCGCAAAGTGATACTTTCTCGCATGAAAAAGCAGTTAGACGAACGACGCGAAGCGGAGTTCGGATAAGCTTTGAGTGCGGGAAAGACACTTTGCGCAAGTGTTAGGAACAATACTTTTTCTACGAGTGTTTAAGATTTGCATTCAGAGGAGCTGTATACCTAATCTTCTAACGAGGTTTACTTGAAATTTGAATAAGTCGTTAGGATTGTTTTTTCTGCCAAATGTTTGTATGGAGGAGTATAATATATAATATATATTATATAATATACAGTGTGTCCACTTAAGTTCGCAGCATATGGGAAACTTTTTTATTATCAATTTTACAAAAAAAAAGTTATTCTTTATAAAAGTTTCTGCTTCTTGAAAAAATAATACTTAACTTCTAAAACTTGAAATAGCATGTACAGGGTGGTCAAAAAAATAGAAAAATATACGGGTTTCCTAAGTACGGGTCGTAACTTTAGGATGTGATTCCTTACAATATTTTAAGAAAAAAAGTTCCCATAAGCATGTGTCCGGAAATGCGTAGTTTCTGAGATACAGGGAGTCAAAGTTTCCGAAAAAATGGTTTTTTTAGCTCAAAAATCCATTTTCCAATTTTTTTTTCCAAATTGGCAGGTCTGTTTGTGATAAAGAAAGGTATCTTTTGACTGTAATATGACTTGCTGAAACTAAAAAAAATATCAAAGGTTTTAGAAAATATAGTGACGTGCCATTTTTAATTCTACATTCACCTTTTCTATTTTTTGACCACCCTGTACATGCTGTTCCAAGTTTAAATAGTTTAATACTATTTTTTCAAGGAGCAGAAACTTTTATAAAGAATAACTTTTTTTCGTAAAGTTGATAAAAAAGTTTCCCATATGCTGCGAACTTAAGTGGACACACTGTATAATATATAATATATAATAAATATATAATATATAATATATAATATTTAATATATAATATTTAATATACAGGGTGAGTTACTAAGTGCGCGGTGGTCCATATCTCCTATACTAACGAAGATCGAAGAAAAAACTAAATACAAAACTTGTAGATAAACTTGAGTACTACATTCCTAAATTATTTTCCAGTATACAGGGTGGCCCAATAACTAGTAGTGACACAAAGTTAGGTTTTCTTAAATGACTCTCCCTGTATATCATGACATTTCTGGATTCTGCGAAAAATTCTAGACATATTTCATGTACAATGTCATATACCTATCTTCAACTGTTTCGGAAATATTGACAGTTGAAACCTGACTTTTTTGCATCTTTGACAGACTGTAAAACCTGAACGGTTAATTTTACAAGAAAACGGATTTTACATTTCTATCTTAGTTTTTCTTAAACTATCATTTGACGCCAATTTTGAATTTAATCCATGATTAAAAATTCCCCCTAAATTATTAATCTTCGGTTAAATCCAAAGTTGGTGTCAAATAATAGCTTATAAAAATCTAAGATAGGAATGTGAAATCCGTTTTCCGCTAAAATTAACCGTTTAGGTTCCACAGTCTGTCAAAGATACAAAAAAGTCAATTTTCAACTGTCAATATTTCCGAAACAGTTGAAGATAGGTATATGACATTGTACATGAAATATGTCTAGAATTTTCCGCAGAATCTAAAAAAGTTATAATGTACAGGGAGAGTCATTTAAAAAAGCATAACTTTGTGTCATCATTAGTTATTGGGCCACCCTGTATACTAGAAAATAATTTGGGAATGTAGTGCTGATGTTTATCTAGAAGTTTTGTATTTAGTTTTTTTTTCGATCTCCATTAGTATAGGAGATATGGACGACCGCGCGCTTAGTAACTCACCCTGTATATTATAATATTATATATTATACTCCTCCATACAAAAATTTGGCAGAAAAAACAAACCTAACGAATGCCTTTATTGGAACAAAAATAAAATGCCCTTCTTTCTGAATATAAGTTCATCAAGAAACCCACAAAACATTGAAAAATCGAGTTTAAATGCGGTAACTATGCATAACAAAAATTAGTGCGCAAAGAGTTTCCGTGCGCAAAGTTCAACTTTGCTCACGCTCGTAGAAAATGTTCATTTTTAGGTCACACCTCCTTTAATTATGACCCTTTAAAAACTTCTGATTGACGATTTGAATAGGCAAATCAAGAGGCAAATATTTATTTTAAGTTTACAAAGTACCTTGAAAATTATCCAACTTATTCCTACAAAAAAAAAATAGAGAAAACATTCTCTTGGAAGATTTTCTACCCTAAAAACACAGAATAGGATTTTGGTAAAGACTCTCTATAATAATTATAGATCAATCTTGACCATATAGGGCTTGGTGGGTTATATTCTAAATTTTTTTAACTGACAAATTAGCTCCATGCCTCTGGACTGGAGCTACTCCTTTAAATGATAATATTTCTAACTATTTTAGGAATGGCTAGATATATTCTCTATCTGCTCCGAATGCAACACTAAGTTAGATGAGGCCTACAATTTCAAGAAGCTGTGTTCTAGCAGTGAGTCTTTCCGAAAAAATTACACCAGTAGCTCTTGTGAAGAAGATAACAGTGAGGAAACCGAAATTTTGCCAATTCTTGAAGAAAAATCAACAGAAAGTGAAGAAACATTTATATGTTTTCATTGCAACAAATATTTTAGAGCCAAAAATCTTCTAAAAAGGCACACTAAAACTCAACACAATAAAACAAGTCAAAATCCCCCTAAATTCCAATGTGAAGTTTGTAAAGAGCATTTTTCTTTGTTAAAAAACATTATTAATCATTGTTCTAATCAACACTCAATGAAACCAAAAGAAATTAAACCATATTGCTGTGATATCTGTGAAAGTAGATTTCGTTCTTCATCTTTGCTAACTCAACATAAGCAATATCATACAGACAAAAGAGAATTTATATGTACCACTTGTGGCAAATCGTTTATGACGAAACAAGATTTATTGAGTCACGAAAAACTGCATGCAGGTCAAAGAAAGTATATCTGTGATAAATGTAATAAAACTTTTAAAACAAATCAAAATCTTAAAACTCATATTTATGTTGTTCATACTGATTCAAGTCAGTGGAAGTATTCGTGCAACATTTGCTTTAAAAGATTTGCCATGAAAGCTAATTGCAACGAACACATAAATAGGCATAAGGGCACTAGAGAGTTTCTGTGTCACTTATGCACAAAAGCATTCGTAAGCCACCACGAACTTAAAAAACACGTAAGGTTACACTCAAACATCAGTAGCTTTAAATGCAGCGAATGCTCCAACCATTATCGCGATAACCGCTCTTTAAGTATACATTTATTTAAGGTACATAATGTAGGAGAATGTAAATTACCAACAAGAGTAAAGAAATTCGTGTGTCATATTTGTCCTAGTCAATTTTTTGATAATCATAAGCTTCAAAGGCATTTGAGGACTCATACTGGAGTGAAACCTTTTAGTTGTGATGAATGTGATAAACGTTTTATCGATAGGAGTTATTTAAGGTGTCATTTAAAAAATGTGCATGATATTGTGAATAACGATTCACTAGGAAAGATTTTTGAGAAGTCCTGATTATTGATTTGAAGCTTGGTGAGATAGAAATGCATTAAGGCCTTATAACAAGGAATTGTTTTTCACTAATGGCATGTATGATTGACGAGTGATATAATTTGAGGTAGAAGATCATTCACATTCTTTTTGTGTAGACAACAAACGATTTATAAAATGAAGAGTGCTGAGAGTCTCAAATGTTTTTCCTAACAAATAGGGTTTTAAAACCTATAATAAGTAAGTGCAAAAATCATATTTTTATTATTATATGAGTACATTTCTTAATAAAAATTATCAGACTAATCTAAACAATAACATTATGCACATTTCCCATATGAATATTTAACAGCTGAACACTGCTGAAGCCTCTGGAACAAAGTTGACATGAGTTAAGTTTGATGCCAGTTTTACCTTCGTGCATTTTCATGTGCTGTTGCAACCGATACTTTTTGTGACACTCGTAGAAGCAAATTGTGCATTTGAAGCTTTTTTCGCCGTGCAATTTCATGTGGTGCTTCAACAGTTCTTTTTTCTTGAAGGCTTTCTCGCATTTCATACAATTGTAGGGCCTCTCATCACTGTGCTGTGTCAAGTGGCAAGTTAGGTGACTTTTTTGGGCGAAAGATTTGCCACAGTCCGTACATAGGAATGGACGTTCACCTAAAAAGGATAAGGTTTAATGTTGGCGGTTGTGGATCAATATTTTTTCAATTTTTTAGAATTTTATCCAGATCAAGCATCATTTTCACTCTACCTATAACATAATTATCTTTCAAACATTTATAAAGCCTGTGTTGAGATTTAATTATTATAAAAATTATCCGAGTTTCAAAATGTTAAGACTTGTGACTATATCCACGTCGGTATGTCAGCTACATCAGTCATAACATGTCATACTACTCTTTTGTCAACATGTGTTGTCATGCATGGTATTGTTATGCTGCAGAATCTTTTTGTTTTTGTAAGGGCCAAATTATGGACTGACTGGTAAACGTCTGGTTGTTACCTAGCAGGTACTTTATATGCTTTAGATAAAAGAAAGTACCTGCTAGGTAACAACCAGACATTTACCAGTTGGTCCATAATTTGGCCATAATAACAATATTGTAAAGTCCGTCGATTTTAATCTGATACTCGGAAGGAATGTGGGCTGGTGGTACCCTACATTAGAACACCAATGGTCACCTGACGTCACACCTGTTTTTGCCATATACTTCACCCCCTTGCTCCTCATACGAAAAGTGTCAGATAAAAATCGACTAACAATATGTAGTGTCTTATCTGATTATTACAAACAATAAACTATAAACAAGTCTGATGTTTTGTCAAGTAATCTTATTTTGTCCTAATTAGTCAGTATTGTCTGTATTAGTAATTAGTAGTATTGTGAGGAGGATAGGTCTAGAAAAATTATGTAAATATTCACTTTATCTCTTTAAGTACTGTTATTGTATAGTTATTGTTTGTTTCTGTTATTTCAGGCGGCTTATTTATACTTTCATTTCAGTTATATACTAACTCCTAAGTTTTTCACTGTCAATAAATAATGTGAACAAGACACGAAAAATCATTTATTTGTTACCACCAAGAACACTGGATCATCCATTCAACTTTGAAATCGAATGGGTTATTTTAGAAGCTACAGGTATTGATTTTAAGTCGCAATATGAGACACTGACAATGCAGTGAAGGCGTGGCTTAAGCAGGATCTTGAAGCACATGCCTTTATTGGCTTGAATGTAGGAAGTTATATAGTACAATAAAAACTGCAAATAGCAATTCATCTCATCAAATGCTAAATCAACTGAAGACTTAACGTCGGGAAAGTTAGTGACACATTGGAAGCAGGATCTTAAGGATGCACCTCTGCTTGTGCTACTATATTACTGCTTTGTCCTGCTTCAAATCGCAACCCAGCAACACACATCGTTTTCGAAATATATCTATTTCCATTTTGGTTGCTAACTTCACCCTTGGAAACACATTGAAAGCAGGATTGCTGAAACAGGTTCCTGCTTGTGCTGCTACGGTCCTGCCTCATCCTGCTTCAAATCTGACCCCGGCAACACGTGCTATTTTCAAGATATAGGGATTTCCATTATGGTTGGTAACTTCACCCTTGGCTTGGCAACACAGTGGAAGCAGGATCGATCCAAAATTTTCCTGCTTGCGTTGCTATGGTCCTGCCTCAATTTAATCACCCCAGCAACACCTAATATTTTTGAGCATGGTAGCATTACAAGAATCTAGTCGTAGGTATACGGCGAATTCGAGACACTGTTGCCAAATGTATCGTAATGAGTGCTTGTCTTTGTATGTTGGTATTTTAGACGAAAAAAGCTTTTCCAAATTTTAGCAGGTTATAACGCTCTGAATTATAAAAGATACCCATTATTTAGGAATATTAACAGCATGTTGAAAAATTTAGGTCATAATAACCTTCTAGTTTTATCAGTACCTTTTAAGAACTCTGACCCTAATGTGAATTATGCTATTTCTAGGTTTAATGATAGGTTAGCTGGATATGTGAATAGGCTAGATCAATATGTGGAAGGATATTTTTGTTTTTTGGATTGTAATCTTTGGGGTATTCCTCTAAAAAAGAAAGAGCTTTCTAAAAGCATTTTAAATATTTTATTTTCGAAACCCTGTAATAAAAACCTATTGTTTTTGAAAGTGTGTGATAGTGCAGAAATGCGGAGTTGATTAATGATAGTAACGATTTAAATACCTCAAATAAAACGGTTACTGATGACCATATTGGCCCACACTCGCTCGTTGACAACAGTGACAATACTTATTGTCATGGCAGAGAATACAAATTTTTTGGATCTATCTCATGTAATAATAGATCCCTAACGACAAAGAGGAGTTTGTATGGGGTTGTGCTGTAGAGGTAGTACCTTTCGTCAAGGACGGTCGCACACAAAGACATTGTCAGTGAGTGCTCGGCGATGACTGGTCCTCACAGGACGCCCAATCCTCACTTATGGCTCCACGTGCCACACCCCGCGCAACTGCATCGACCTGCAGGCAAAACTAAGTTGAGGGTAGCCAGATATGGTGAATACCGACAGTATCTGATCCAGAATGGGCGGCTGTCAACAGCGTTCCCTACAACGGCAGCTGTAGCCAGAATGAAATGGCGGAGGGTGCGAAGAATAACTGGAAGAGATCAGGCTGCCACACAAAGATAAACATTGCTACGTACAATATTAGATCAATGGCGACGGAAGACAGAACTGAAGAACTGGAAGCGAAACTAGAAAAAATCAAATGGGACGTGATTGGCATAAGTGAGACAAGGAAAAGAGGCGAAGGCTACACCAACCTCAAATCAGGTCATAAGCTCTACTACAAAGGACACGAAAACTCCAGTCTTGGTGGGGAAGGCATACTGATACACAGGAGACTAACAGACAACATAAAAATGCTCAAAGTTATATCCGAACAAGTGATATACATAACGTTACAAATAAACAAAGTGGAATCACTCAAGATAATTCAGGCATGTGCTCCCACAAGCACCGCCGATGACGAAGACGTCAGCAAGTTCTACGAGGATATGTCGAAAGGAATGCGCAGAAATAAAACATCACAAGTTTTAGTGATCGGCGACTTCAACTGCAAGATTGGAGGCCAAAACGACCCAGAGGAACAATATGTAGGCAAACACGGGCTAGGCAAAAGAAATCCCAGAGGCTCAATGATGGCTGACTTTCTAGAAGAAGAACATCTCTATAACGCCAACACCTTTTTCAAAAAAAAAAAACGCAACCGCAAATGGACCTGGGCAAGTCCAGACGGGAGAACTTTCAACCAAATCGACTATATTCTAACGAAGAACATCCAAATAGTACAAAACGTGGAGGTATTGAACAGATTAAATACTGGAAGTGACCATCGTCTGGTGAGGGCAAGGACAAGCATAAACCAAAAACTAGAGCGTTGCAGAAAAATCAAAAAGTCGATACACAAACAGATTGACAGAAAGAAACTCCAACACGACCCAAATAAATTCCAAATATACCTGGGAAACAGATTCAGAGAGCAGAGACCGAGTACCAATGACATAAACAAAGCAAACAAAACGATCACTAGAACCCTAAACCAAGCAGCAGAAGCGTACACAGAAACAAAAACTAAAAAGCAAAATAAACTAAGCGCGCAAACACTAAACATGCTAGATAAAAGACGACAACTTATAACAAATAACAAAAGATCATCAGCAGAATACGCCGAAACAAATAACATCGCCAGAAAGATGGCAAAGGAGGACATCAGACAACACAATGAGCAAATCGCGCAGAAAGTACTGGAACAACACAAAGGGACGAAAGTGTTCAGAAGACTAACGACGAACACAAAGAAAGAAATTGTCAGAATCAAAGACAAAACAGGACAAAGAATCGAGGAAAGACACGAAATTATAAGAACGGTACAAGAATTCTATGCAGACCTATACGAGACGAAAGTAACTAGCGACACATCCGAACAAGACCAGGAAGTGAAAGTCATGAACGTCAACTCTGAAGACATACCTGAGATTACAAAAGACGAAATCAGACTAGCATTACATCATATGAAAAACGGGAAAGCAGCAGGCGAAGATGGCATATTAACGGAGATGTTAAAGCAAGGCGAAAATATACTACAGGACCAACTAGAAATGCTGTTCAACAAATGCCTGGAAAAGGAGGACATACTACAGGACTGGACAAACGCCCTCGTGACAATCATTCACAAAAAGGGAGACACCGAGAACCTAGAAAATTACAGACCGATCAGCCTGCTACCCCAAATATATAAATTATTCTCGAAAATAATAACCAACCGTCTCACACCAAAGTTAGACTACTACCAGCCAAAAGAGCAGGCTGTGTTTAGGAAGGGTTACAGTACTACAGAACACCTGCAAACGATGAGAACACTAATCGAGAAGACGGTGGAATACAATATACCTTTATGGCTAGCATTCATTGATTTTAGAAAGGCTTTGGACACGGTGGAAATATGGGCACTTCAGCAAGCCCTGAAACACGCCAGAATAGACCATAGAGTCCATAGATACGCAAACCTAATCAACAACATTTACCGTAACGCGACTCTACTAATCCAGCTACACGAAAAATTTGACAAAGTTGCAATTAAAAGGGGAGTGCGCCAAGGAGACCCTATGTCACCCAAGCTCTTCACACTAGTTCTGGAAGACGCACTAAAAACAATCGACCTCCAAAACAGAGGCATTAATATCAATGGGGAAAAACTCAACCACCTCATGTTTGTCGACGACATAGTAGTGATAGCCGGAAGTAGAGAAGAACTGGCCACACTTATCGAGGACATCTACAGGGCCACGAAACGCATAGGCCTAGAAATCAACTTTGGCAAAACGAAGTACATGACATCAAACGTAGAGGACGAACGAGAAATTACCCTAGGAGACAACAGAATCGAAAAAGTAAATACATACAAATACCTAGGACAAACACTAACTACAGGCAAGGCTAACCAAGAACTCGAAATAAACGAGAGAATACGGCAATCCTGGGCGGCATATGCCAAAATAAAAGACATCTTGAACATGGACATACCCCTTAACCTCAAAACCGAATTATATAATCAGTGTATCCTACCAGTAACGACTTACGGGTCACAAA